CCTGCTTGGAGTCTGCTGGGGCATAAGAGAGTGTGGCTTCCTGCAGGGTCCTAGAGTTTCCATGTCTCCAGAAGGACATACATGTTTCCCTGTAGTTTCTGCCCCTCTATGGATCTTCTCCTAAGTGCTGCAGTGTGCTGAGAGCTGTGCAGGACACAGCCCCAGTTCCTACCCCAAGGCTCTTGGAACCTAGTAGATGGACATAGGTTAGGTCAGAGCACCTGCCGAAGAGAGTGCTTGAAACAGTGTGCTGGGTTGACTTTAATTGGAGGGCGAAGGCCTAAATGCCTAGTCATGGGAGACATTGCCTTGGTAGCCCTTGTGAGCCTTCTGGAATGGTACCCAGAAGGGAGCCTTGTGCACTGGGATTGGAAGGGCCAATTACCAAATGCTGCTGCTTTTATGGCTGGCCTAAAAATCCATCCTTCCCTTTCCCATCCTTCCTACTACAACCCTGGGCCATTCCTTGGTCAGCTTCGCTGTTGCCACCTCGTCCTCTCCCCTCCAGTGCTGCCACAATCATCTTTCTTTCCCATCACTGACTTGTCAGACCCTTATTTGCATCCCTCCACGACGCCCCAACACCTTCCATATCAAGTTCCAGCTTCTGGTCTCCTGCCTGCCCCTCTGTTCTCATGTCCTTTCCCCAAACTCCTCTTTATAACCTTCTGTCCAATGTAGATGGCTTGCAAGTTTACTATCTTACAGCATCTTGGCATCACTCTTTCTACCTTGTGTCCCTGCTGTGTTTGTTTCATGATGTGAATGCTAGCCAGACAGTGGCATCGCTACATTTTCCCAGCTACTTCATAACTATTTTGTTATGCCTGGCTGTGCTAAGTGTCTCTGAAGAGAAAGCAAGCAGCACTGCTGGGGCAGCCTGTCTCTGCTGGGAATAACAGTGAAGGCAGGGAACTGTTCAGCCTGGAGATCCCCCGGTCAGAAGGGTGAGGGATGTCTCTCCATGCAAGAGAGGTGAGCATCGGTGCCCTTGCTGGACCAGAGAGGGGAAATACAGGTGCAGTTGCCCTGAACTGTGACAGCACATACATACTGTAGTGACATACAGACTAGTGCTATCTACTGCCTTTGAGGAGAGGGTGAGTACAGCAATAGGAGCAAATTAGCCTATATTTTCAGCTAGGATTGGGCTTTTATTTTTCTTCTTTGCATATGCTTGACAAAGTGCTGCTAAAAAGGACACTAAAAATCACACTTGGAATTTTTTTTACCTACTGTTGTTCCATGTAACAATTAAGATGCGTGTAATGGAAGCAACGTGAAAAAAAAAAAGTTTGTTTTATCTGTAGATTGAGAGCACATCAGGTAGTCAGTGTTGCTGCTTCACCTGTCTGCATGGGCCTTTTGAACTGCAACAGGAGCAATGAACCCCTCTTCAAAAGCTAAAATATGGTTGTCAAAGCACACACCTGGCCTGCGAACTCGGGCAATTGTAGAACCTGAACCTGGTTGGTCGCTTTTAAATGAAATCCACCTAAAAAGAAATGGAAGTATCCCTTTAACTCCAGTGGTGTTTGGTCACTGAATTTAGCCAATCCAATAGAAGGAGAAAAATTAATACCAAAATGCTCGATGTTACAGAACCAGAGGTGAGCGCTCCTGGATCCATGAGTGGGGCCAAATTTTCAGATGTGGTTGGTAGCTCCCACTGGTAAGCCCCCTGGAACATCTGGCCCCAATCTCTTTCAGACTGCCTGTGCATGCAAACGAAAGCTTTAGCAATCCCAAAGCAGCCTTGTTCAGTTTACACTGTTCTTTCCATTGTTTGTAAACAACGTAATCCCTAACAAAGGATGCTGCGTCCATCAGCAGCTGCGTCATTAGCCCTGGAGCCCTAACACACTGGCGTGTATTGTTCTTGCTAGAGGCGATAACAATGCGCTATTTGTCTGTGCAGTCGTGCCTGCTGCCAGCAGAGGGGGCTTCCGAGCTATGGTCCATTGTTGGAGACAAACTGCGGCCGGAGCTTTAGCCCAGGGCTCACATAGTATCTCACCCACCTTATCTTTCACCTACTGTCTTCTATTGGACCAGCTTCTGTTGGAGAGGGAGAAGCTTTCAAGCCACACACCTCCTCTCTCTCTTATCCTGGGGGGGACCGACCTAGGTGCCCCTCCCCTGTATGTAGTACGGGAAAGATGTTTTAAGAGTACAGCACACTTCATGCAAAACTCCTTGTGGTTAGTGGTTGACTGCAGAAGATGTTTGGAAAGCCGGGGATCGCAGCTGTGCTAGCTAAGGCTGAATTTGCTGTTTGGAACCATACAACCCACAAACTTCAATTAAAGGGCCCGTGGTTACGTTCAGCGGCAGAAGACCTAGAGAGACTACAACTCCCAGCATGCAATACTGCTGCACACAGCTGTATCCAGAGGTGAGGACTGATCGAAATGGATCAATGCAGGCTGAGACTTGCAATGGAAGTGAAGGTGCAGCTGGGAAACCCTGCTAGCTGTTCCCTCCCCCTCTGGCTTGCAGAGGAGTCAGCAGGGCTGAATTTAACTCCCCAGCAGGAAAGCTCACAGGCTTCTGCCTGCAGCTTTAGCCAGTAGAAGCTGCCCCCCAGGTTTCTACAAACAAACCCTTCCAGGCCTTGCTGCTATTCACGGTGGCGGTGTTACAAGTAGTTGCCTTTCTCCCCCGCCCTGTCTCCTTAGGGCTTGAGAGCTGCTTTGTCTGAAGATAACTGGTGGTAGTCTGGTCATCGCTTGGGGGAGGGGGGAACCTTTAGGGCCATCCTTGAGGTGAAAGGAACTGGCAGGATCCACCCCACTGTGTGGCCTATTCCCATCTTACCTGCACAGCCCCAGAGAGGGTTATCGCTGTTGTCAAGTTTCCTCCCCCACTCTGAACTCTAGGGTACAGATGTGGGGACCTGCATGAAAAACCTCCTAAGCTTATCTTTACCAGCTTAGGTCAAAACTTCCCCAAGGTACAAAATATTACACCCGTTATCCTTGGAATGGCCGCTACCACCACCAAACTAATACTGGTTACTGGGGAAGAGCTGTTTGGACGCGTCCTTCCCCCCAAAATACTTCCCAAAACCTTGCACCCCACTTCCTGGACAAGGTTTGGTAAAAAGCCTCACCAATTTGCCTAGGTGACTACAGACCCAGACCCTTGGATCTTAAGGGCAATGAACAATCCTCCCAACACTTGCACCCCCCCCTTTCCTGGGAAATGTTGGATAAAAAGCCTCACCAATTTGCATAGGTGACCACAGACCCAAACCCTTGGATCTGAGAACAATGAAAAAGCATTCAGTTTTTACAAGAAGACTTTTAATAAAAAATAGAAGTAAATAGAAATAAAGAAATCCCCCCTGTAAAATCAGGATGGTAGATATCTTACAGGGTAATTAGATTCAAAAACATAGAGAACCCCTCTAGGCAAAACCTTAAGTTACAAAAAAGATGCACAGACAGAAATAGTTATTCTATTCAGCACAATTCTTTTCTCAGCCATTTAAAGAAATCATAATCTAACACATACCTAGCTAGATTACTTACTAAAAGTTCTAAGACTCCATTCCTGTTCTGTCCCTGGCAAAGACCAGCATACAGACAGACACAGACCCTTTGTTTCTCTCCCTCCTCCCAGCTTTTGAAAGTATCTTGTCTCCTCATTGGTCATTTTGGTCAGGTGCCAGCGAGGTTACCTTTAGCTTCTTAACCCTTTACAGGTGAGAGGAGCTTTCCCCTGGCCAGGAGGGATTTCAAAGGGGTTTACCCTTCCCTTTATATTTATGACAGGGGGGAACCTTTAGGGCCATCCTTGAGGTGAAAGGAACTGGCAGGATCCACCCCACTGTGTGGCCTATTCCCATCCTACCTGCACAGCCCCAGAGAGGGTTATCGCTGTCTTTGTGGGGGAGCGGGGTTAAAAACCTCCATAGCCACAGCTCCTGCTGGCTGTGGGGCTCATAGAATATCAGCGTTGGAAGGGACCTCAGGAGGTCATCTAGTTCAACCCCCTGAACAGGGCCGGACTCATCCTGATTTAGGCCCCAGATCCCTAAATAGCCCCCTCAAGGATTGAACTCACAACTCTGGGTTTAGCAGGCCAATGCTCAAACCACTGAGCTATACCTCTCCCCATGCAGACACCTCCCCTAAGGCCATTTCTGGCTGCTGCTCAAATGGCCGGCTTTGGGCTCCCCAGCTGCCTTCTCCCTGCACTGTTCTCAGTCACTCAGGGGGGTGGGGGTGCAGTTACCCAGGGCCTTGATTTGGGGAGGCCTTGACTGGCTGCCCTAAGCATGGCAGTGAGGGGGGCTGCAGTCAGGCAGGGGCGGTGCTGGTCTTTCAATGCATGTTCAGCTCTCACCTGCTCCGGCTGGGTGAGTTAAACTTCCCATCTCTACCCAACCCTCCCCTGGACATACAGGTGCCTGCTCTACCCGACCAGGGCCGGGCACTGGAAGAAACGCTAGCTAAGGGCCGCTGTTCCGACTCAAGCCAGAGACTGGGCAAGAGCAGAGCCCAGCTGCTGAGTGGGAGATAGACAAAGGGTCCTGCCCACAGTTGCTGCTGCTGGAGTCAGGGTTGGGGGCTCCCTGGTGCTCCTGGTTTGCCCAGACTTGGGCCCACTCTAGCAGGTGGCTTATTGTGAGCGCTGGGCGGGGACCCCAGCCCTGCCTCCAGTGCACTGGGGAGGGGAGCAGGGGGTGCAGGACAGCGCTGGGGGGAGTTGGCCACATTCCTCCGGGGGCAGAAGCCAGAGCAGCCGCAGGTCCCTCTCTAGGGCAGAGCCTTTGCAGGGCACATGCTAGGCACCCCCCGGCCCAGGGCCACCAAGGGGCCCCCGCCCGGAGAGGGCTGCGGGGAGGGCCCCGGCTTCCTGGCAAGGTGGAGCCGCCCTGCCTGGGGGGACCCGGCCTGTCCCGCGGGAAAAGCGCCCCGGGCTCCCCGGCCGGCGCCGCGCACACGTGCCTGCTGGGCTAGGGGCGGGGCCGCCCCGAGCCGGGGTCGCTCCTCCCGCCGGCCCAGAGCTGGCTGGGGAAGCGGAGTCCGGCTCCAGCGGGCTCTAGCGCTGCCGTTGATCGCGCCTCGCTCCCGGCCGGGTCCCTGCGGCCTCCGGCAGCCCCGTCCCGCTCCTGCGCCGCGCCGCCGATGGGGAGGCTGATTCTGGGCGAGCTTCGGACAAGCAGCCCCCGGGGAGCCCCGCCTGGACCCCGGCCCGCGCCGCGGCCGCTGCTGGCTGCTCGGGGCCAGAATGCCCGCATGGGGGATCCTGCCCGTCACCCTGCCCGCCGTCACCATCAGCGGCATGTGGATCGTGTGAGTACCGGGCAGGGGGGCGCTAGGGAGCGCGGACACCCGGAGCCCAGCCCGGGGCGGCGACCCCCTATCGCAGCCCCCATGGGGGCCCTGGGCTCAGGGTAGCGATTCCCTCCATGGGGGCCCTGGGCTCAGGGTAGCTATTCTTCCCTATCACTGCCTGGCGATTCCCCCCATCACTGCCCCCTGTGGGGGCTCTGGGCAGAAATTCTCCCCTTTCCCCTTATCACTGCCCCCTAGTGAGCCCTGTCCAGCGATTGCCCCCTATCACTACCCCTATGGGACCCTAGGCTCTGGGCAGCGATTCCCCCCCCCCCCGTCACTGCCTGGTGATCCCCCCATTGCTCCCCCTCCGCTCCCCGTTACTGCCCCCTAGTGGGCCCTGGGCAACAATCCTTCCATCACTGCCCCCTATGGGTGCTCAGCGCCAGCTGAGGTCTCAGGAAAATCAGCAGGTGGGACACCATCCTGCAAATTGGTCTGGGCTAGGGGAGCCCCGAGGCAGGTGGGCTGGAGGGAAAGAGGTGGGTGGATAGGAAGGGCTGATGAAGAGACGGACGGAGGGTTTATGCTCCTTTCAGTGTCTTAGCTGGACTGCACAGCTCAAGGCTCTGGGTCACCTTACCAGGGCGTGGGGTGGGCTAGGTCAGTGTCTCAGGGGCTGGCCAGCCCCGTAGCAAGCCTAGCAGCAGTTGCTGAAGGTTCGATATACCCACATCTGGTGCCTGCTGTGGGTTGTGCTGGTAGGAATTACAGATGGAGAATACCTCTTTAAACCAGCCCTCTCTCCTTCCCCAGGCAGGACCAGTCCCTCCTGTGAACTTCCCGGGATTCTTGCCAAAGCAAATTTGAAAGGTCCCAGGCGATGGGGCTTTTGCCTCTTCCCATGGGAGGATTCCCAAAGGATAACGTGTCTCACTGACAGGACTTTTTCTCTAAGCATAGCCAAGCCTTCCCCTTTCCTAGTTTAATTGAGCCGAGCTCCCTTTACACCCCATTTGCTGCCCTCCCGTACTTTCAGACTCCAATCGCCCTCCCTAGTGACTCTGCCAAGCCGGACTTGTTTAATCCCTTCTCCTGAATCCATTGCTCCAGCTCATTTTTACTGATCTTCTCTGAACTCCCCGCAAATGGGTCAGTGCCTTTCCGGTGTCCAAAACTGAAAGGTGTGTTCTGGGCGTGGTCATGCTGAAGCCAGAAGCTGACTGTCGGCCTGCCTGGTTACCAGCCCAGGATGCTTTGATCTCTCTTGCTGCCCAGCTCATCTAACCTGCTGTCCTGTGTCACTCTTCAGCTTCTCCCCAACTCTCCTACTTCCCCCTCCCACCCCTGATGTGAAGTTGAATCACAGTTTATTTGCTCACCTTTCTAATCTCCAAGTCTCTTTGTCTTTGGTGGGGCTCCTGATTTCCTGTCATCCCCAACCATTAGTAGTTGAATCAAACAGGCCACTTCCCGGTTGCCTTTGATCATTACCCATTGTCGGAGCCTTTCAGCCCCCGGGACCCTGCTGGTATTGGAGCCACTCTGAATTAACTCTGTCTCAAATGCTCTGGGTTCCTGGGAGTCCGGGCAGCTTTGTGGATCAATGCAAAGTTGAAGAAAAAGCAGCAAACTCCAAAGTGAAGATAATGAACCTCCTACCCCCATCTGGAAACTGAAGTGAGATTTCAGGTGTGTGGTGTGGTGTCTTCCTTTGTTGCAGCTGGACAGGAGACAGGGTTACTGGGCTAGATGAACTGTTGGTCCCATCTGGTCGGGCGATGCCTAGGTTCCTACGTTACTGGGTTTTAAGTGACTTGCCATGGATAAAGCTGCTGCCTGCATGCGTTACTGAATTCAGGCATCTGGCTGGCTGAGACAGCCAACACGCAGCGTCTCAGAGTTCTCTGACTCGTGCAACACTGCTATGCTAGAATTGTATTAATAATCCTAGTCCAATCCAGGAGTGCAAGATCCAAAACTGGACCCTGCGGGGCCTTTTCAGCCACGCCAATTGCCTGACTGCATTACTTTGTATTGAAGACAGGAGAGAGATGTGCAGTATTCTCAGCTCCTTACACATCCTCCTCCTGACATGCATCCACAGCCATGGACCTTTGCATGCCTCCACCCTTAACTTCTTCTGTAGGGAACTGGTGCAGAAGGGTCAGTGCAAAGAGATCTATGGGCTGCTCGCTTTCTAGCCCTATGAAACAGCATGGAGCTGGACAGTAACAATGCTAGTGCATCAGTCACCCTGCCTAAGTGACATTTGTAAATAAACTAGGCCTCCAACGAATGTTGCCTGGTGAAGGGTCTTCAGTGCCGTTCACCTGCCCATATGTATAAGAGGGGACAGCATAGTGCCTTCAGCCCACAGCACTGCCCGTCTGGCTGCTGCTGAAACTGATATGAAAAGGGAGGCTGCGGCTCTTGCTCTTGGCAGTGGGTGTAAACCTTGAGCCTTCATGGCCCAGGGCTGCTCCGACGGGACAAACAGTCTGAGCAGCCCTGTTCCTCGTGTGGCTCCAGTCTCAGGGCTGCTGATTACTCCAGCTAGCCCTGCAGAGCCAGCGCCGGTGAGAGCGTGAGACTGGAGGTACGTCCGACTCCTGCATCACTGGCAGAAGCTTGTCCCGGCGATGCTGGGAACACAGAGCCTGGGGGCTGGTGGTGGTTTGCAGAGCCCAGGGGGAGCTTTCAGTACTGGGATGTCATGGCCCTGTGAACTGGGTTTAGGTGGCCTGGAGCCGCTGAGAGTATGTCTGAACTGCAGCAAGTGTGGACGTACCTCAGCTAGCTAGGATCTAGCTAGATCTACTCGCTGGAGTAACAGTGGCTGTGTCTGCCCCTCGTGGCTTGGGAGTAATGACCAGCTTCACCGCTATCATTCCTGGAGCTAGCTTTGGTCTGGCTAGTTCAAAGCCAGCTCAGGTATGTCTGCCAATTGCAGTGCAGACGGACCCGTGGAGAGGACTTGCCAAAGGCACCTTGACAGCCCCTCTTCAGGGCAGAGCGTTACCTGGAGTCCTCTCTGGAGAGCTCCCTTGAGGCTCCATTTCTCCAGAACCCTCCCTCAGACATGCGTAGCCCCTGGCTGTGTCCTCAGGGCTGATTCTCATGGGCCAGATACCCCCAGAGGAGCTGTCTTGGCTAAAGCTTCCTCTGGCTGCTGTAGTAACCGCTGCACCTGGAGGGTTATAGAAGGGGAGCAGAAATGCATTGGGTGCTGCTCTCTCCAGATGGCTTCTGCACCGTGCAGTGACGGTGGCTTCCACACCTGATGGGGTCGCTGTGCCTGTCGGAAGAAGCCCTTGAAATGCCAGTGCCACAGATGCCCCCTGGGATGGGAAAATCCAGCCAGGTCCTCTGCACCCCTGGCATTGTCATCTGTCACGCTGAGCTGGCTGCTCCGCTGACAGACCCCAGCCTGTGCACATCAGAGAGCCTGGCAGAGGGACAGGAAGATCCTGTGGGAGAGCAAGGCGGGGGGGTATAAAGAAACTGGAGGAGAAACGGTGGATTGTGCGCTGGAGGGGCAGGGCCGGAAGGCCTGGGTATTCTGCTTGCTTAGTTGCGCTATCCCAGCTGGGCTCGTGGCAGGCGCATTGGGATGAGCTGCCGCTGAGCTGCCGATGCCTGTTCTGGGAGCAGGGGAGGGAGTTAGCAGGGTGCTAAGGGTTAACAGCAGCCCGTGGGAAGGGAGAGCAGGACCTGGGGCGAGGTTGGGACCCTGTAGCCCTATGGAATTGCGCCTCAAGTGAGGTACGCCAGGCAGCGGTGCCCTGCCTGTGGGTGCCCCAGCAGCGCTGCCTTTGGGCCTGGCTGTCTGTACAATGCCCCTAGTACTCCGGGCGTGTTACGTGGCCACCGTGGTAACTCGAGAGGTTCCTTACTAGTGCTTGTGCCTATTTTTAACGGCTGTTGGTCATCGTTAGCGTCAGCAGCTGCCCACAATTGGAGCCAGCTCAGGGCAGGATCCGCCCAATGCTCTGGGGCCGGCAGAGCATCAAGCTGCCCTTCTCGAAGCGGGAACTGGTGCAGAAGGGTCAGTGCAAAGAGATCGTGGAGAACCACCAGCCCCTCCCCCCCCAGGGCCTTGGAGCATGCTAGACGCTAACCATTAGGCCTTGTGCCCTCCGGGAAGCGTTAACCATTCTGCGGCTGCATACTGAGTAGGAGACCTGAGCCCCTGTCCCCTGCTCTGGTCACTAGTGCGCTACCCCAGGGACAGGGTTCTGCGAAGGTGGACCCTGATCCTGCATCTTTGTGCCCCCGACATCAGCAGGTGTTGTGAACGCACAAGGACTGCGGGCCTGAGCCCTCGTGCCTCCAAGAGGCTGGTGTGTAGTAGCACAGCCCTGAGCAGCGTTGGGCCCAGTGCCTGCTTGTCTGACTCTGTTCAGTCTCTCCAGTGTCCCGGCCTCTCCCTGGGAAAGGCACATGAGCCAAGCTGCCCACCTGTCCCTCCTGGGCGACCCTCTTAGATCCATCGCTGTAACTGGGCTCGCCTACCTCGGCAGCCACTGAGTTCTGAGTGATTGCCACTCCTGCCTTTAATGAGCCGTGTGGCTAATTTGTAATCCAAGCCCTGCTGCCCAGCGCTGTCTGGCAGCCAGCCCTGGATCCCAAGGGGCAGCCATCTGTAAATGCAGCTTGTGAATGAATCCTCTCTCTCTCTGTGTTTGTGAGCGTCACCGAGGTGCGGGCGGGTGTGGTTGGAGGACTGGACTGTGCATGTGAAAGGGACACACTGAGCCCTTTCCCTAGAGGAGCCTGGCTGGCTGAAACAGCCGGAGGTTCCTGCTTTGGGCAGGCGGCTGGAGTGCTGGGGCCTGGAGGTCCCATGGCAGTGGGAGAGCGACGCTCGGCCCGGAGGAGGCAGTGGGCAGCATGGGGTCAGAGGGAGAATGTGCTTGCGTGTGTTCCAGCTGCTGCCAGGAGATGCCCCTTGGTGCTTGGGAAACAGTCTAGACAGAGGTCGGGGAGCAACTGCTCAAAGGGGGCTGCACGAGATGGAGAGTTTCGCTCCCCACTCCAGTCTGCAGGGAGTGGAGGGGATTTGCCCCTGGAAATGAAGGGGGCCAGGAGGATCTGAGGAAAGAGACGGAAATGCTGGGGAGAGCACAAGCCCTGGCGTGTGGGTGTGTTGGGGGGAAAAGCCTGGGGAGAATGCTGCTGGGGTACCAGAGATTCCTGGGGGCTGGGAGCAGGAGGGTCCCCCTGCTGCTTGAGGGATCTGGATGGCAGTGGGGATCCGCGCCCCTCTGCTAGAACTCCCTTATTCGACACCACGGAGGCTAGACTAGACTCTGCTTTCCCTGGGCCCCCCGCGGCAGGGAAATCCAGCAGTGATGACTTGGCAGGCGGGGAATGGTGAGTGAGACCATGGAGTGGCTCTCAGGATAGCTGTGCAGGCTTCTTGCTGCAGCTGGGGAGATGCTGTGACCAGATACCGATTCAGGTGCTCTGGCCAGGCATCCCCACCCTGGGGGGTACAGCTGAGGACAGGTTCTCCCTGGCCTGTTCCTCGGCTGCTCAGTGAATTCAAGCTGATGTCATCCAGCCTATTCATTACAGTGCTTCCTTCTCCTAACACCCTTCAGGCGACGCACTGACCTGCATGGAGGGTGATCCTCTTAACGTAGCACTCCCCCTCCCTCCTGAGGGGCCGAGGGGTAGTGGGAATCAGCCAGAGCTCTGCATGGATCAAGCTGTCTTCCCTGAGTCTTGATCAGTGGGCCGTGTAAACCTCGGCTGGGAGTGTAGTGTCACTCTCCGAACTAGAGCACTCCAGTGCCGCTCAGTTGCTCTGGGAGACACTCCCTGTGGCTGCTGCCCTGAGTCTGTACATCTCCCCGAGGAAGTGCTGCTGGGGGAGTGTGTGGGTGGGGTGATCTAGTGGGGATCGAAGGTTGACTAACCCGGGCATTCTTCTCTCTCCTATAGGTATGCCATGGCACTCTCTAACAACCACATCTGCCCAGTCCACAACTGGTAAGGAGCCCTGGTGGGATGGGACCTTTGTTGGCTGGGAGGGCGTCCCCACCAACTGGCTGCAGACCCTGTCATGGCAGGTCCTTTTCTGAGCTGGGTGGAAAGGCCTGTGCTGGGACTGGACTCAAGGCCATAGGGCAGGTGTGCCGGGGTGTTTGGTGACCCAGTACCTCTCGCCATGGCCTACCTGCTGGGTGGAGCCCAGCGGGAGACAGGCCGGGGGGTTGGGCTGAGGTCAGTGACCCGACCCGCACACAGGCATTATGTCTCCGACCTAGTTCTGGCCAACGCTGGTCTTGCCCAGCAGATCAAAGGGAAAGCGGCTGCTGATCAGGTTCGACAGGTGATGGGGAAACTCCAGCTGCGCCCTGGTCCTCGTCATTTCATGTGGATCAGCTCCTGGTTACCAGAGCTGGCCCCAAATATCAGTGTAGCAGCCTGGTACGGGAGTAGTGCATTGGGGGGGTGCTAGGTCTGGAGGCTGGTGTCTTGTTGATTGCGGAGCCCAGTGTGTTCCCCTCCGTGGCATGTCTCCACAGAGGGCCTGTTCCCCACATCCAGAGCTGGATTGTCCTTTAGACCTGGCTCTGGGTCGCTAAGGTCCTCTCTTCATCAACACGCCCCACCCCAGGCCCTGACTCTGGGAGGTGGGGTAGGGAGAGGGGGGATTGGTGGATCGTTCACATGCTGGACAGAGACAGAATGTAGAGAAGCAAGAGCTCCTTGGGTTACAATCCGGACCAGTCTCACCAACTAAGCAGGGTCAGGTCCGGGCAGTACATGGATGGGAGACCTCCAGCAAAGGCCTATGTTCAGCAGCAAGTAGTCCTGGTGACTCAGGAGGTGGCCCTCTTTGGCTGTGGTATTAAAGCAATGCTCCAGCATGGCGCTAGGGGACGCTGTGTTGTAGGGTGTTATTTGGGGGGTCTTGGCCCACTACACTCCACCTCCCCCTGCCATTGCAATGAAACATGGCACACGTCACTTCCTCCCCTGACCTGCGGGACGGCGCCACCCCTTGCTGTGAAACAGCCGCCTGCTGTGGCTCATTGGCAGGGCAAGGCAAGCCTGGCATAGAGCTCATTAATTAAGGGCTCAGTCCTGCAAACCTTTCCGCCCTTCAGTAACCTGATTGGTTTCAGCGGGCCCTCTGGCTTCAAGGGAGCTGCCGATGTGAGTAAAGCCAGTCACGTGTGTTAGGAGCCTGCAGGATGAGCCTCAAGTGTTCAAAGCCCTTTAGGATCTGGCTGGATGACTGGTGCTATATAAAGCCCCCCACCAGAACATGGTCAATATGTGAGTAAGGCGGATCCAGTAAATAATGTAACCCTTGTTTGAAGAAGGTTTCCACTCAAACCCCCCAGAGCATGAAAAAGTCTGCAAATAAGCAGTTCAGAGAGTCATAGAGGGGTGTGAGTTTCCATGGAAAAGGTTGGAACTAGCTACTTTCCTCTGCTGAGGCTGAATGTACCCCTCCCCCAACTTTGCCTAAACCAAACCCACCTTGCAGCTTCTCCTGGTGGATCTTTGCAGAGGGTCAGCCTTTCTGGAAAGTTATGGCCAGATTGGACCAGGTGTCGGGGAGAGGTGGGGGTTAGAAAATTGACTCGCTTTTGGACATTTTTCTGGATCGTGTTTGGCTTGCCGGGTCTCCTAAAGAGCTCAGGCGTGGAAGCGGCGGGGTAGTGTATTCTGGCTGGTGTGTACAGCTCTCAGTGCAAGGGGGAAAAAAATATGCACTGCCATTTCCTGCAGAATATTTTATTTTGTCTTCAGACAAACGCATTTTTCTCCATTGGCTTCATAGCACAAACAGAATGCTGACGATGAGTAATGCTAAAGAGCTTGGTTTTAATGTTGAAAAAACAAACCCAAACCTATGCAGGAAAGAGACTGCTTAGCTCCCCATCTCTGAGGTTTCATGGCTGGAAACCGAGCCACATGGAAACGAGAAGGGTCTGAAAAAATGCCAGTTCTAATCTTTCCAAAGGGAAGTCCTCTTTCACTCTGTGATTACCAAACAGATTCAGTTGTGACTCACCAGCAAGGCAGAGATTGAGCTCTCTAGTACGCAGTGGAGTTCTGATAACCACCAGCTTTCGTTTTTGTTTATGCCTAGTAAAGGCAATACCTTCTATTAACTGCGAAACAGAGCATTAATTATGGAGCTGAGAAGGAGGCCTCCATCTGTAAGGCAGATGGAATTTTAGGCTGGGAGCCTGGATCCTAAGGGAACTGGGTGCCAGACACCCTGTGGTTCTGTTGAAATCCCAGCCGTAATGGTCTACTGCCCTCTATTGGGGAGAATCTAAACTGCTTAGCTGTGTGGCATAGGCCTCCAGCTCACATGCCTGGGGCCTGTGTTTCTGGAGCTGGAAAACATGGGTTCGAGGCCCACTGTGCCTACAGAGTCCTGAGCGGGCGGTGTCGATGCTGCTGGGGTTTGCGGAGCTGCGGCTGTGGTACACGTGTGTGTGAATGCTGGGTGTACGCCCTTATGGGAGGGTGCTTCCCTGTCTGCTAGGGAAGGGCTGGGGGTGGGTGCCCAGAGGGAGCGGGTTGTGCCGTGGATGAGGGGAGTGACTGAAAGTGTTACAGCGGAAATTGATCAAAGTGACCGGAGTTCAGATGTTTGTAGGGGTCTGTCCCTGTCCCAGCTTCCTCCCCCCCCCGACCCCCCAAGTCTGGAAGAGAGCTCGGGGGCATGGTCCTGCCTCCAGCTGGAGCCCATCATGCGGCCTGGCCTGAGGGACAGCCCCATGCGTCCAAGCTGTTTCCATGCCAGGAGCCCTAGGGTGGCTGGGATCTGCAGATAAATATCTGCCCCGCTCAGCACCCGCTGGGCTGAGGGGGAAGCGGTGCCTCCCTGGGATGGCTGGCAGGCGGAGAGGGAACCGTTAGCTGAGTAAGCAACTGACCAAGGCCCTCTGCCACCTCGCCAGTTCCTGCATTCCTGGCCCATCTCCCAGGGTGCTGCTGCTGCATTCCCTGGCCAAGCTCGGAGCAGCTCACACATCACTTTTGTCTGACAGGAAGGGAGGAGGCCTGACCCTGCAGCCCTCTGGGACCCCTTGCCCCAATCCAGCCTTAGCCCTGCAGCTCTGAGGGGCAGCTGCCTGGCCCTGGCGGGTCAGGAGTACTGGCCAGCCTCTGGGAGTCCTGCTGTGACAGGCACTCTGCTAAGCCACTCCAGCTCCAGAGGGGCTATTTGCAGAAAGGAGGGCCTGCGGGAGTAGCTGGGGCTCTCTGCTCTGGAGCCTTGTTTCAGGCCATCTGCAGGCAGAGCTGTGCGAATCAATGGGAATGAACTGCCCTTTGCCCAGCTGGATTTGGCAAGCCTGTGCTTTGGGCCTACCCGCTGGGTGGCAGGGCCCTGGGAGTGAGCACGGGACAGGCTGTGGAGAGGACAAAGGCCCACTCTGAGCCGGACAGAGCCAGGAGCCAACCCCCCCAGGACCGGATCCTGCCTGGTCTTCCAACCTAAGCAGGGTCCAGCCTGTTTGGTACCTGGTTGGGAGACCTGCAGGACCGGCTCTGGTGATGCAGGAATTGCTGCTGTTTCCTGAGTCAGTACAGAACCAGTGTCCAAACATGGTACTAGGGGCACTTTCAGCTGTGACCTAGAACCCAGCCGCTCGTCCCTTGTGGACACGAACCCTCCCTTTCCCCCTGCCCCTTTTCTGGAGAAATTGGGGTCTCGGCTTTGGTAGCTGTGTTCTGTCAATCACCTGCGTGGTCACTTGGCCACGGTGGCTTTCTCCGCTTTCCATCCTCAATGGCTGTGCAGCATTGCTGTGTGCTGCTGAACAGCTCTTGGACCCTGGCCCAGAGGTGGCTGCGTTACAGGGCTGGCTGCAGCAGCTCCTCATGGGTTTGTTGTGGGTGCTTTGGGAGTCCAGCCTGAAGGACGCTATAGAACTCTGTCATGATCATTTAGCATGGGAGCCGGATGGGCAGTCCCCTGCCACAGATGGGGAGCAGCAGCCTGGGGTGGGGAGGGGGGTGGTTCCGCTGGGCCCTGGGGGGTCTGCGAGCAGCCTAAGCAGTGCTACTTCCCTCTTGAGATAGGGAGGAGATGTTTCGCCCCGTGCTGTCAGAAGATGAGGGGAGGGGGCTTTGGGGCAGGTTCCCAGAGCTCTGGGCTGCCAGGAGCTTAGCTGGAGGGGGCTCCGTCCCTTTGCAGCAAGCACGGGAGGATGGCAGTTTATGCAGGGAATTCCTACCCCTCCGGTTCCCCACCCCCCACTCCACTGGAGCCCTCCCCATCACCCTGTCTGGAGGCCTATCCAAGCTTTGAGCTTCCTGAAAATTGATGGAGCTCCCTGGGGTAACGCTTCTGCCCATACCCCCACCGCCCCCACAGACCTGCCCTTTCCACCCTGAGTAGCCCAGTCTATCCCCATCCCACCCCAGACAAATGGATTCCTGCTCTGTCCCCCACACCTTCCCTCCCTTCCCCACCTCTCCTGCTTTGCCTGGAGGAATGAGCCAAGGGTCATAAGTCAGGATGGTCCGGAGTCCTACTCCCAGCTCTTCCACCAACTCCCTGGGTGACCTTGAGCAAGGCATGTCCCTGCTCTGTGACTCAGTTTCTCCATCTGTGCAATGGGGATAATAGCACTCTCTTACTGCCAGGGGTGTTGGGAGGGTGAATAATGTCTGTAAAATGCATTGATCATACAAAGGGCTGTGTAAGTGTGGAATGTTGTTAGAGGTGTGACTGTCTCTCCCTGCATCCCTTGTTGGTGAGACACACGAATGGCTCCCCTGCAGCCATCTCTGGGCTGGAACATGTTTCCCTGGGGATGCCAGTCCCTCATCGCTCCCTTCTGCACACAACCCTTTATCCGGCACTGCCAGCACTGGGGGATGGGAAGATAACTTGGTGAAGGGGTATGGGCAGAAAAGGGCAGAGTTAAGGTTAACACGGATGGGCTGTGGTGTCCGTAGTCCTGGTAATGGTGGGGGATGTGGGAGGATAGGGTATGTGCTGTTAGGTG